GGGGAAGGAGCCCGGCTCTGCTCGGGGATGGCCAATGCCAGGACAAGGGGCAATGGTCCCAAGCTGGAGCACAGGAGGTTCAAGCTGAAGATGAGGCCAAAGTTTGTGAGTGTGAGGGTTCTGGAGCATGGCCCAGGCTGCCCAGAGAGGTTGTGGAGTGTCCTTGTGTGGAGACACCCAAAGCCCTGGCCGTGTTCCTGTGTGACTGCTCTGGTGATCCTGCTGTGGCAGGGGTTGCACTGGGGGAGCTCTCCAGGTCCCTTCCAACTCCTCACGTTCTGTGATTCACCAGTCACAGACACTGCTCCCCAGAGTCAATGCAGGCAGGGACTGGGGCCAGTGGGAGACTGGGTAGGGCAAACAAACAGGAACCAAAGAACTGACAGCAAGGACCATTTGGGAGGTGAAGAAACAGACAAAACCCAAACAGTAGCACCAAGTCTTTTACACTTGGTAGGAGAAATCAGCCCGGGAAGCAGCAGTGTACTGGAAACTCAACAGGGGGAACTGAAGAGCAGAACACCAGTGACAGGAAAGACACGATGTGCCGGTAAGAGTTGCTGATGCATTAAGGGAGAGCTTAAGGGCTAATCCAATCAGCAATTTAACCATATGGATAAACAATGCAATCCCCACAGACTGAAAGCTCAAGGCTCAAGTAATTGCACAGTACTGCTATTGGTCTGCCCAGAACAGCAGCGCTGCCCGACACACCACAGACCAGGGGGAAACCAGAGAGGCTACGAAGGCAGGAAACAGAACAGTACATGGCAAACTCCCCATTAAGACAAGAGCTGAGGACAATCCCAAGACAATCAGAGCAGCAGCTTGTCCCAAAGGGGATAAACAACCCTCAGGTTTGCCCCATGTCACCCTGAAAGCAGCAGGAGCACAGCTAGACTAAACCTGCAAGGAAGTTTAACGTTTAGGAAAACCCACCATCAACTATGCTTGACTTTGAAAGAGGAACTTCATAAAAATAAGGAAGTGTGATTAAAAAGAACAGGGCAGCCAAAAAGAGTTACTTTTCTGCAAGTGATGCAGACTATTTAAAAAGAGAAGCTGGAGGCTCAAAGCACGTGTTTGAGAATAGGAAAAGGAAGCCCACACAGCTCAAATGATGAAGAATACAGCTATTAAAAGTAAGGTTGTTTCTATACAAGGAAAACACAATCAAGCTCCAGTAGGTGAAACAAAAAACCCAAACTCACACACTGGCAAGCTCAAGACAAAAGCGTGAGGAGTCATTTGCAACGTCACAGAACAGTAACAAATCCATCTTCAACCATATGAAGCAGTCAGGCTGCCCGCAGGGTCTAAAGACAAAGTACAGAAGGAGATATAGGGGAGGGAGGTGGGATGGGAGCGTGTGAAGAGACCCCTAAAAAGAGAAATAAGATTAGTATTTTGCTTCTTGGTTTACTGGGAAGAGCTATGAGGATTCCCAAGCCAGAACCCTCTGAAATGTCAAGAGAAGAGACGTGTAACTCGTTTAACACTGTGATAGTATCAGGAGACTGAAGCAGGGCTGTCACAACACTGATGTGGGGAGATCTGGGGAACTACAAACCAGCCTGACTGGTCTTACAGCCAAAGTCACCAGCGTGGAGACCCACACCACGCAACAAGTGATCCAGGAAAGCGAGGGAACAAGATGACAAGAAGTTTGCTTGTAGTACTGTTACTCAAGGCTGCAAACATGAGGAACAGCTGTGAAAAACTCCACAAGGATCTTATGAGACTGACTTGGCCATTAAATGGGCAGGCGACATTCTTTAGAGTTAAGTCAAAAGATAAGGAGAAAGATTTTTTTGTGCATAAAACAGTGTTTTGAGACCACTATTACCAGTCAGGAGTGGGATCCTGGGGTGATGAAACAGGACCTACAGGAATGTTTTATGAATTATGAGGCAGAGGAGAGACCACAGCATTAAAGACCAGTGGAAATCTCTGGTTCACCTGCATCTTCTGTATCATGGGCAGTTCTGGTCGTGGTCTACAGGGTACAGCCGAGCTGGAAGAAACTCCAGAGGTGACAAGGATGAACACAGCTCCCTCCCAGGGAATTACTGAACAGGGTACACCTGCATCTGCTGCCAGGCGAAGCCTGACATGAAAAACTACAGTTCAAAACACAAGTCAACAAAAGAGAAGCACCAGAAAAGAAAGGAAATATGGAATCTAGCCAGAAACACAGCTTCTCTGAGCAGTGTCAAACGTTAGTGTCACTGTAGGGGAAGCAGGAAGGAACAGTAAGAGACATATGATACAGCTTTGCTTGTGTGCATGATGGGAAAGCCAAAGGAAATCAGCTGCCTCAGACACAAACGTGTAGGCCAGAGGAGCAGCAACCTGACGGTGTCCGTTCTGCTTCCCAAAGGATACTGTAGAGTTTTCGGTCCTTGGACTCCGACCGCATGCGGCTCAGCTGCTGCTTATGGCAGCGCAGGCTCCAGGGGTTATAGCTGATCTTCTCAGAGCTCAGACCGCTGTTCCCATCCAACATCTGAAATGGAACATCTGAATGGATGTGTAAATCCACCCTGGGACTCTTGGTTTCCTGGATGCTGCTGGTATAAAAACAGAACAAACTTGCCTGTTAGAATCCATGCATCCTTCAGATACTTACGACTGTCATATCAACCCCTTGCACACAAGTCTCCTGTTCCCTCTCCCGTTGCACACTTCACACAACACAGACCTTCTTAACAGCAAATCCTCACTAATACTCTGGGCTGCGGACCCCGGCTCTAGGATCTGGTCTAACATCTCTGCCAGGTTGTACTATAATTGATAGAATAGGCAGGAATATCTATTTCTCAGCAAGCTCCAACTGGTGTGAGAAGGAGAAGGCAGAGACCTGCATTCAAAGCATCCTTGGAAAAAAAACCTCTGGGTTAAAAACCAGGTGGACCAAAGAGCATTTGAATCTGCTCCACATGCTTTGGCTTCACATCCAACAAACTGCCAAGGGTTATCCTATGTCAGGAGCCCTTCACATGGATGAGCTCATCATGAATCCAGCAAAGCTCCTGACACAGTCTGCAGGGCCACAGCGTGCTGGGCTAGCAACTGCAAGACAGTCTGTCGATTGTACAGGAGTACAAAATGCTCTCAACAAAAGGAGCACCAGAGCTGAAAGGGGAAGAGAGGTTTCCTGCTCATCATGTTGTCACCAGGCCCTCAAAGTTTTACCTTTCGCTGCTGTCACTGGCCAGGCCAGGTTTCTCCTCCTTGTGCTCAGTGCCGCTGCTTGATCTGTGAAGGCTCCGACGCGAGTGCTTGCGTCGTGGCTGGTCCCGCTCCGGCAAATCATCCTGCTCCAGGGCCTCGTTCTCCACGTAAGGATAGGCCACCAGGTTAATGTAGCCGTCGCTGTCTCCCTCAAAACAGACGGACACCACACCTGCCAGAAAGAAGCGCAGTATCAGTTCTGTTTCCCAGGGAGAGAACACAACCACGAACACCCAAACGTTCACCAGGAGAGAGGAAAATGCACGAGAACAACAAAGCAAATCCAGAGCAAGAAAAGGAGACTTAAGACTAGGAGAACCCAAATATTGCTGGCACAGCACAGAGGAGAAATCCGTGAGTGTCATGAGGATGGAGCCAGGCTCTTCTCGGTGACAAACAATGATAGGACAAGGGGTAACAGACACAAACTGGAACACAGGAGGTTCCACTTCAATTGGAGAAGAAACTTCTTCTCAGTGAGGGTGACAGAGCCCTGGCCCAGGCTGCCCAGAGAGGTTGTGGAGTCTCCTTCTCTGCAGACATTCAAAACCCGCCTGGACGCCTTCCTGTGTAACCTCATCTGGGTGTTCCTGCTCCGGCAGGGGGATTGGACTGGATGAGCTTTGGAGGTCCCTTCCAATCCCTCACGTTCTGGGATTCTGTGTAATAGTGCTCCATATTGCTACCTGAGCGAACAGTCGGCGGCAGCAGAGGAAGCTCTGCCACACACAGGAAATTCAGGACAAAAGCACAGCTGGTAGGTTGAGGGCTGTGAGTATTTCCTTCCATTCAGTCCTGCAGCAAATGTCGTCAAACTGGAGAAGGCCAAGCAAGGTCTACCAAGATGTTGAGGGGGGCAAAGCATACAAAAAATATCTGGGTAAGCATTTGGGTCCTGCAGAAGCACTCCTGCTGTTGACAGGAGGAGCCTGCTTTCTCTGCTAAAGGAGCTCCCCAGCATCTGAGCTATGGACTACAGGGCTCTGAGGCTGAGGTGGCACTTGCCAGTCTTAGCACAAGTCACCCAGTCTCACAGAAAAGGGATCTGTAAGGTCCCAGGGTTGCTAGCATAAAAACAAGAGGCCTTGGAAGTAAAACTACCTCAGTCAGATGCAGGCAAGCAGGAACATTTGTGTCCAGTTTTACCTCCGGAAGGCTCCTGGAAAGCAACACAGTCCAAGGGAAGGGAGAGATCTTTCACAGCACTCTGACTGTATCTAGCTGGCCAGCCACAGAGCAGGACAGCTGACACCTCTAGGGAGGGCTGACATCTTCATCTCTGGGACTGCTCCAGCCCTGAAAATAAGGCTACCACAGCCCATTTCTTAGCTTGCTAAGACTAAAAATCTTTCTTGAGCTTATTATCAGTATCAAATAGCTGCCAGGAGTATCAGATGCCCAATGCACCGAATCAAATAATTCATTACAAATGTGAGGAAACCTTGCACTGCTCAGTTGATGCAGGCCACCACATTACATGACAATGCTAACAAGGTTCAGGGGGCTCAACACAACTTCAGAGCAGTACAGGACTCCAACATGTCACCACATAAATGCTGCTTCAAGTGCTCCAACTGCCCAGACATGCTCCTCAAGACATCTCTGTGAAAGGGCAATCTTACGGTAACATCTGAGTGCTCAGACAGGAAATATCATCCCCAACATTCCCCTCCCCTCGAAGAGAAAGAAGAATTTCTGGGACTCTTGGGTGAAATCCCACGCTGAGGTGGAGGTGCATATCCTATGCCTTTAGGCTACCAGGAAGTATCTGGCTTCAAGAAGTCCATCTGGACTATCAGCTTCATCAGTTTTAAGCCCATTTCCCAAGGAAAGCTTGACATCCTATCAATTCTAGTAACTATGCAGGCTTCAGCTGGGATTTCTGATGGGCCTCTAGAACACCATATGGCCCCAGAGTGGCTGGAGGGTAACAAGAGGACTAGTCTGCTGGAGATTGTATCTTTCATTCGTGGTCTGCAAACAGACATAGGTAGGTAAGCTGACACTGCTCTGAGACCTTCAGGCTGCAGCCAGATCAAATGGCAAGACCCCGAACAGATGGTGGTCCCAGCTGTCTGTGAAGCATCGTCCTCCCAATGCCACGTGCTGACAAAGAAGCAGAGGCAACAGGAAGGTTACCTGCCAGTGTCACCATCCTGAATAAAAACACACATGGCCAGAAGCGTATCGAGCTTCTGAAAAATATGGATGAGCTGCCAACCCCTACGATGATACAGACACTGGAAAATTCCGTTCCTTCAAAGCGTCTGGGGACAAGGCTTCACCTCAGCACTGGGAAAGCAATGCTTCCTGCTTCAGCAGCTTTCTGATACAGGTTCAGAAAATAGATGGGATGAGGAAGCAATAAACCACGGGACTGGAATGTGCAAATGCTCGGTATATGATTTAACTGCATTTGGTCAAGGTCAAGGCTGTAAATTGACAGTAACTTGGTAGTAAAATCACTTCAGTTACACATCCATAACCTTAAGCTTCAGACTACAACTGTCACCCTGCATACTTTTTGTCTAGAGAGGGAAGCACAGTAAACGGCGTGCCTACAAAAAAAAAGACTACTTTTTTTCTAAGTACTCCTATCAGACTACTAGCCTGCAAAAGAGAAAGGATTAAAACCACGTAAAACGACAACGAAAGACATCAGGAGCTGCAGGGAAATGAGAGGACAGGTTCCTGAAGCATGTAAGTGCATTCTGGGATGACAACAGGCCTCACCTTTGTACTCAGGTGTGAACTCCTTCATTTCCGGGGGCAGAGACTCGTAGAAGCGCTGTTCTCTGGTAATGAGGGGCTTGCAGACAGTGTGGTCGTCGTAGCGCATCATGCTGCTGTGGCCGCCCACCTGGTGAATGAAAGGCTCCAGCAGGACCCCCCGGTCTCCGGATCGAGTGGCATTCTTGCCATACTTGCCCACTTCCATGGTTTGACAAACACACATTGCGTTGGGCACCAGTTGCACTCTTGGAGCATGGAGAGAGCCACATGGGCTGGGAGGGGGCAGCTCAGCAGCGGTCAGGCAGCCACAGGGGGGAAATCCTGGCAATCTGCTTCCTTATGATGAGCTGAAACAGCAAAGGAGATTCCTGTGAACACACGACCACTTGCATTCACTCCTTATTTCCTAGGAAAAGTTTTTGGTATTTATTTATATCTGCAACTGTTCCTCTCCTCATCTCTGTTTATATGTGACTTGTTCCAGCACGCTCCTCACCACCTCTTTAATCTTACAGGTAAACACCCACTAATTCAGAGGCAGTCTGGTCTAGAGCTTCTCCAATAGTGCTGACAGGAGACAGAGAACGGACAAGATATTAATATTTTGAGCCACCCACCTTTCAAAAATACTATTTCCTTCCTTTAGTTCATTTTATCAGGAAGGCAACGTGACAGTGAAGCACAAACAGCAAGCTACAGCACAATTAAAACCAAGCCCACACCTCTTCAGCAGCAGCACTGACAGACCTAACACAGGCAGAGCAAACATTTCAAGAATCTGAACCCCACTCCTTGAGCATCTGCATTTTGAACACCTAAACTACTAAATAATTCCCGTGCACCTCCTACCCTAACACTGTTTCCTCCTCTACCGACTCGCTTCTCTTCGAGCTATGAGGTGAAAGACTCCGGCAGTAAGACAGCCATCCTGTCACTGTGCACGTGTGATAACTGGATGGATTCCTCTCTGATGCTCTCCTTTATTACTCCGAGCCCTTCAGGACAACAACCACTTCCACTACAGCACCTACATGCACAACAGGCCCCTGATCTCGAGGTAGGCAAGAGAGATTGCTAAATCCAAATGAGCTTTGGAGAAGACGGATGTTCTTTCAATGTTTGCAGAGTGCCTGGCGCAGCCACAGGAAGACGGAAAAGGAAAGCTGTCCAAGTTCTCTCCAGGTGATTTACCCTTCCCAGCTCAGATCAGAGCTGCTCCCGAGGCTGCTGAGGAAAATACCACAGGATTTCCTCACAATAATGAGCTATCCCAAGTCTTTCGTACAAGGATCATAAGGGAGCTACAGTTTCCAAACTCAAGTTTCCAGTGTTTTAGCACAGCCACAGCCGAGCGCGATAACTGAAGAACCAAGGGACCTTGGAGGCCTGAACAAGGGCCATGGTTCAGACTGTTCCTCAGCTGGCCACGGGATGTCTCTGCAGCCACACAACACTGCCAGGTTAGGGCAAGTTCTGGATGGAGACGGGCTCTCCTCTCAACTCAATCAAGAGACAATGAGAGGCAACACCTTTAACCAAATCTAACCCCAAGGCTCCCCACAACACGACAAGGCTTCTCTCTCCGTCTGCACGTTTCTGCTCACTCCCTCACGGTGGATTTTGGGATGGTATGAGCGTGCATACGTTTGAGTTGAATCATCTCACTGATCTGATGGAAAACATTTCCTTTTGTGGTTACATGACCACACCACTACTGTCAGAGTAACAGGAACAAGGTGAATATTTAGTTGCCTTTTCAGGTGCGGGGCAGGGAATAGGAGGGAAAAACCCAACACCACAGACAGTTCCTGTCTGTAGCTACTTGCATCAAATCTCTTCAAGGTATCTTTAAAGTCTCTGCTTCCTAAACTCACCCAGAGCCTAAGTCACATCACAAAGAAAATAAAAAGCATGCTGTGGATTTCTTTCCCCTCTCTCTTATTTGCTTTATCAGTAAGAAGATATTTCAGCAGTGGATGCTAGCTCGCATCATAGATGTTTTAGTTTGGTTTAACAGTAGTTAATACCCAAGAACAACCCAGCAAGGTGCCAGCATCTGTAACGGATCAGCACTTCACAGATTTCAGATGAATGCTTTACAGACTTGCATTTCCCCTTGCTGACAGAGCTTTGGCAAAACAAAAGAAACCAAAGCCAAGACAACGACTGAAGCAGAGCTTCCGCTTATTCCAAACAATATGGGGACAAGTATAACTTCACATCTTCCTGCAGTTTCAACTTCACAGGACAAGAAGAGGAGGACATTCATCTGTGTGGTCACAGCAGTGGCCATAGTCAGGAGACAAGCACATGATGCTCGTCTCTGGTACAAGTCTCAGTTCTTACTGAAAGCCACTCATAAAATGCCTCAGGGTCTCAGTTTTGCCAGTGACAGAAGTACCCATACCTTGGAGAGAAGAGGGGTTATCTCAGCAGACTCATGAGCTTCAGACTCCTTCACTAACTTCACATGGAGGTCACAAATACCCAGGGAGACACACGCTCCCCTCAAGGCCCGCACAGGATGTTCTCATAGTTGGGAGTACCTCACCTACAGGCAGATTTCAGCCAACACAGCAAGAGATTTGAACTCCAGACCTATTTTCAGCAGTCTTCTTTCCTAAAGGTGAGCAACAACAAAGAATACACTCCCTGAATTATTCTGAGGACAGAGTTCCTCAAGCCTTCTCTGCTGCATGGCCTAGAGATATCCATGGGATGACTGCAGTGATCCAAGGACTCCTGAGCAATGAGAGCAGGCTGCGCCCACCAAGAATTACCCCAGGTTCACTGCCAAGCACCCCACCAGCCCCAAAAAACCCCAGCACAACAAGTTTTGGATGTGGAGGCGCACTTGAGAGGAGCAATAGCCACAAAAAACCCCACTCTGTGGCCATGATGGAAGAAAAGGAGCTGGGAATCAGGTGGGGAGAGAGCCCAAACCCACTGATGAACATGCCACACATTCATCCATGCGCTCCATAGAAAAGAAGTTATATAGACAATGTTTTCACCAGTGAAAGTGAGAAAAATACTTTGTGGCAAGTAGCATTTCAGAGAAAGTTTTAAAAGAGGAAGCTATCTACAGGGTTTGAAAACCAGACACTTTGTAGCTCAGATACAGTTTAGCGTTTTTCAGGCTGACTCAAAGTAAAGAGTCGTTACTAAACATGGACACTATCCACAAATAAAGACAGAAGAAACCCAGCAGTTTCAAACAAATAAAGCAGAAAACTATTTGAAGGCCTAAATATTACTCATCCTGCCTCTGTTAGACACAGGCGTGGGTTCAACTATTTTAGCTGGCTTATAAAATTCAGACTCCTTCCAAATTTTACTGTAAAATGCAGCGCACAGCTTGAGAGAGACCAGTTCATCCAAGCAGATCCTTTGGTATCCTCCAACACCACCACTACAGCTCAAACAGCAGAAAAACATTCAGTTTATCATCCCCAGCCTCACACAGAGTGATCTACCATCAGCAAGGCAGACTGTCCATCGAGCCTGACTCAAGAGAGGTGGCAGGATGAGGTTCAGGAGCAGCTATTGGTGACTCTAGGAGGACATACCATGTATCACACATGTGCCCCTCCAAAGAAACAAACAGCATTTGTGTCTCAGAGCACTCTTAAACGTTGCTGAAGACTACCCCTGTCTTACCAGAGCCAAGGAGATGCCTGCTCCTGCCACTTCACAGGGCAGAGCACTGCCACCCGAGGATGCCAGCACAGGAACAAGGGTGTGGGAAGAGCAGGGATGTCCTCTTTGATGGTGTCACTTAAGGTGCTAGGAAAACCAGCCTCAGAGGCCACTACACGCTGGAGAGGTGGAGGCAGAGAGCCACACTGCAATGGGTGTGAGAATTACTGCAGATCGCACCACGATGCTGACGGTCTCACTCTTTCTAAGCAGTCTTGTATGGGAACACTGGCAATGCTTCGTGACTCACTAGCAAAGCTATTTTCCAAAGTAAAAAAGGAGAACAAACGTTTAGAATTGTGACATATTACACAGTGAAAACGCTGACAGCATCACGCCCTGCTGACTCACTCCTCCACTGCAAGCAGGGTGCAGGGCCATCTTCCCAGCATCACCTTGCTGTGGCTCCCAGGACTGCAGCCAGCCCTCGGGACCTGTGGTGTTGAAGACTAAGGCAGATGGCCACTTGCTATTCCACAGGCGGGGGATAAATACTGACCTCAAGGGCACGGTGGTGGAAGCTGGACTTTCCCTTAACAACTCCAGAGCAGTCAGGAGCAAAGCACAAGAATACCAAATACCAGTACACCAGGTAAGAGGACTGCAGCATTTGGCCAGTGGGTACCTGGTGACTGCTTCTTGGGAGCCAGATTTGTTAGCAAAGAGAAGGAGCAGCTAGCATCCATGCTGAAAAGTGTGGCTTTTTCTAGACATGCTGGATGGGGTGAGCCAACTTCTAGAGAAGAATCACAACGTGAGGAGTTGGAAGGGACCGGGAAAGCTCCCCCAGTGCAACCCCTGCCACAGCAGGATCACCAGAGCAGTCACACAGGAACACGGCCAGGGCTTTGGGTGTCTCCACACAAGGACACTCCACCTCCTCTCTGGGCAGCCTGGGCCATGCTCCAGAACCCTCACACTCACAAACTTTGGCCTCATCTTCAGCTTGAACCTCCTGTGCTCCAGCTTGGGACCATTGCCCCTTGTCCTGGCATTGGCCATCCCAGAGCAGAGCCTGGCTCCTTCCTCCTGACACTGCCCTTTCCCAATGGATCCCCAGGAATGAGGGCACCCCTCAG